AGGTAGGGATGTCAGCTGTATAAACTGTATAGAGGATAGGACCATCCATGGTCAGATTTGAAATCAAAACATTGACATTAAGATAATACAGCAACCTTAAATTGAACAAAAAAAAAATATATTCACACATTACTGATTAAACCGCAAAGACCAAGGGAAATTGTGATCAATATAAATTCAAATTTAAAAATGGAGATCGCAAGTTCGTTTATTAATGGAAATAGCAGAACTAGGAATTAATTTTGGGGAGCTTAACATTAAAAGTCAGTGAATGGAGGTATCAACACCCCAAAATCCTCCATCTTAACCTTAACTACTAATTACTCATTCTTAAAGAAAAATATAAAAACGAAATTAAAGCTCAAATATTTCTATTGAGCTTACGCTCGGCAAGACAGGTATTTTAAAAAACAGTATACCTTTATATTGTGTTACAGCAGGAACATGTATGTATGAAATATGAAAAACATATAATTAGTATAAAATTTTATGAATATTATAAGAAATTGGGCCCGTATCTGAAGATCGAAATTTTCAAACAAATAGATCGTAAAATTCAATTTTTAAATCTTAAACTGTTTATTATTAATATTATATAGTACACAAAAATAATTGTACAGCTTAAACATTATTAAACATGAAAAACATAAATGAACAGGGTAAAACTGGGTAAGAACATTAAACCATAATACTTATAGAAATTATAATTTTAATAACAAACAGAGTACGTTACTAAAATCATCGCTGTACATCAATCGATTAAATACAGCACAGTTGGACAGTAATTTCATTTAGGAACGACCTGATTGGTTCCAAAAGAAGGTTAACACTCCTGAAAAGTTATTAAACACACGAAGGTGTTCCGTTTTCTTGAATATCAATTACTAATGTTTTCTAAATAAATATCCTTTTATAAGATATTTAAATCTAAAGGCATACATAATAATTCGTGAATAAATTCAATTGAATCAAACTCTGAATGGAGACCTGAGGATAAATATATTTTTTGTCCAAAATTACAAATAATTTTTTTTTAATAAAAGATCCATTTTAGTGCAAAATTGCAAAATAGATAAAAGAAAGATCTTAATAGATTTTGAATTTTAAATCTACAACTCAAGAACGGCATAAATCTTTTGAGATCAAAGATTTCCCTTAAACAGAAAAAAAAAATGATAAATCCTTAAAATCCAAACAAACAGTATATAGATGTATAATCAAATAACAGAAAATTTAAACCAATATCAACTGTTTCTTTTTGTTTCAGGACTAAAATAGAAAATGACAACGCCACTGCTGTTATTACTGCTGGGTAAGTGACATATTCTTAATTATTTCAACTTTAATAGATTTTTTAATTATTATATGGCAGAAAAAAGTAAATCTGCAAGAATAACATACGAATATCTAGTTTTATTTCCATCCCTTTTCGCGTGATTGATTCTTTCCACTTATTCTGTTTGCTTCCATAATATACTGGTATTTTTTAAAATATTCATACAATATTACACTGCAACTGAAAATAGCTTAGTTCTTCAGTTATTTTAAAGTGACTGTAGTTGTAGCTGACGAAAGAATTCCAGCCTGGTGTTCGAGGAAATAATTGGATCACTGGCCATTCCTGACTTTACAGACTTGAGTTAATAATTATAATTGTTACCACGGGAATAAAGGACTCAGAGTCGTTGAGAATCTGCTAACTGAAAGATGAGACTAATTCATAAACAGTCCCTCCACTTCAGCAGTGACTACATTGATCTTGAACTTGAGGAACCAAAGATATATAAATGCTACGAGCTTCATTTCAACTCATCCTTTAAAACAACTTCAGAAAATATGAAGGATGATATGTTCTACACAAATAATATCCAGGTTAATGGTAGCACAATCAAATATTGCCTAAATTGTAAATATCTTTATAGTAAAGCAGTGGTGAATTCAGGAATGTTCTGAGGGTGAGGGGAGGGTACGTATATATATATTGAATTCATGTAAATACGTGTAATATATATATATATACGTTTGTGTATGGAATTTACCTGTGTTTCGCAAGTGCGCCCCCCCCCCCTCAGAACATTCCTGGATCTGCCATTGCTTTACTATGAAGATATTTACAATTTAGGAAATATTCGATCGTGCTACCATCAACTTATTATTTGTGTAGATCATCTATACAGGTTGTACGTATAGAACTTTTTGTAGCACTAATAAAAGACCCAAAAAGTTAAAGTTGCCAATTCTCTGCAGAAAAGTAGGAAATCCAAGTTTAGTGTTTTTTTTAAGTAACTCATACTTTTTGGTAAATAGGAAGGGATAATTAAAGAAATATTTAATTTAAGTAATTAACAATTGTTTTGATATAAACCAGATACATTTTTCTTCTAATGAAAATGGAATTTTTCATTGTTAAAGCCATTTAAAGAGGACTTTTGAACGGCTAAACTTGGCTAAGTTCGGTTTTTAAAATAATCATTAATTATTGGGGATTTTTTTTAATCATTATCCAACTGTACTAAAGATACATCAATTTTAGAAAAACTTCTTCGTTTAATAAAAATTCAAGTCCATATTAATTAAATTGAGATTTATCACGCAAATTTCTTAGATTCACCTCAAGTTGTGTAAAGAAATGTGATTTTTGATCAAAATTGGCTACTATTAACTGTTGCAAAGCATTTTTTTTTCTTGTTTTTCCATAAGGTCTGTTATCCGTCCTATAAAAATTTCCCTCTACTTACAAGACACCCTTTATATATAAGGAATTGTATTTTAGTTTTTACTTTCACTTAACTTTATATGAAATATATAGTAAAGTAATGTATTGCGATCGTGAAAATTTTAGAATCTGAGTTTTGAAAGGAAATACATGTTTTGAGGCTCCTGAGTCCAAATAACCAAATCTCGCAAAATGATCTGTGTGAGTGTTAACAGTTAAAAATGAAAAGTCGTAAGAAAGTGAAATTGCACATTTAAGATTTTTATATGCCTCAGATGTTACAGCAACTTTTTTGTCTAAATCGGCTTACCGGAAGTGGCACTTTATATAATCGATTTAACACGTTTTTACTATTTTCTCATAAACGGCTCTGACGATTTCGATTAAATTCATTATATCACTGTAAATTAAGCAATTTAATTTTAATTTAATGTAGGTTTTATTCTATGTTTCAATATTAGCTTCCTCTAAAATACCTTTAATTGTTTTTATGTGAAAGAATTGACCATTTCACATTGATCTCTAATATAAAAAGTAGTTAAATATAAAATATGAGAGAATTTGATGATTAACTAAAGGAGAAACAAGAGTCCGTAACATATAATAGTTGTAATAGAGAAATCAAAGGAATATGAGCGTACCCGAGTTCACCCGAAAGAGTACGTAACATGAGCTTAATATAATACGGACTCCGACAAAATTATGTTCATATACATATGCGATTTTCATAAATGATATAGTTGGTATTATTTAATATTTAATTGTATAGAATTTAGCGATATGAAAATTAAAATTTGTATATACATATATATGAAGGGTATTTAAACAAATGAAAATACTCACAATGAAATATAAATAAATATAGCGTCTATAATTTTTCCTTTCACTTTCCCTTTCTGCTGAGAGAGTGGCAAGTGAAGGTAGTATGATGTGCGCACCAGATTTTTTATTTTGTCATAAAATAGTGGTAAAAATTTATTTATTGGATAATTGATGTCTGTGAACCTAAACACGACATTTTTGCATAATTGTTTTCCTTAAATTTATTAAAAAATAGATTCATAATTGGTAAATGGTTGACTATCGTGGATAATGAAGAGAAGAATGGTTGGGGTGGTCAGTCAAAAAGAAGGCAAAAATGAATGATAATATTTATTTTTACATATGCCGACGTTTCGACCTGAAGTTCAGGCCATCATCAGGGCTGACTGCTTTAAGGTGAAAGATGCAACAGGTATGTGGCCTGATGATGGCCTGAACTTCAGGTCGAAACGTCGGTATATGTAAAAATAAATATTATTTATTTTTGCCTTCTTTTTTGACTGACCACCCCAACTATTCTTCATTGCATCTTTCACCTTAGAGCAGTCAGCCCTGATGATGGCCTGAACTTCAGGTCGAAACGTCGGCATATGTAAAAATAAATATTATCATTTATTTTTGCCTTCTTTTTTGACTGACCACCCCAACTATTCTTCTCTTCATTAATTAAAAATAGTTTCCAAAGGATCAGAGAACTCCAACAGCTACTTTTAGCTACAATATTCAGCTAATTCGCGAATAAATAAAAAATTGTCTGGGTAAAAATTCAATTTTTTTTTAATTATTCGTTATTTTTTAGTACAGAGCATAAATAAGAATTATTTATTTAATACAATTAATTTTTCAATTAAAATAATAACAATAAAATTGACGGTTGTTAAGTTACTTTTTCAAGATAAAATTTGTCTCACCTTCTAGGGAGAGGTGGGACGTGTGGTAAAGTAATACCAAACAAACTAGTCATTAGTGAAACAAACCCCGAAACACTCCTATCATATTTTCTGATGCAAATAATTTCAATTTGTTGGATTAGATCTTTGGAAGAGTATTGTTGAGACGTAAGGAAAACCTTCAGAAACGAAATAATTCTGTTACCATTAAACACGGTTGTGGTCATGTTAAATTAAATGGCGTTTGTCATGAAATGAAAGGGTTAATCTATTTTTACGAAACTAAAATGCAGAGGTGATTATTTAATGAAGTAGTCAATATTTCATGGCATAGCATGCATGCAAGTGCCGAAAATATATTGAGCAATGTACGGTTTGCTGGGCTCAGCTAGATTCCATGGTTGCAAAGCATCCTCTGTTGAATGACCGTCTCTTCTGACCTTCATCAGGAAGTTCAGGAGATTCGAAATGGAGGATTAATAGATTTAACCATTGGTTATTTGGAGTAGGTCAAAAACACCGACAAGCCCAATTTCCAGAAACAACCCAACAACAAACAATCTCTTACCAATATGCAAATACTTTTTTCCAAGGTATTTTAGTATTAATTCAACTACATAAGTTAAAAATTACAGCTTATAATATCGATGGCCCATAATATAAAATATTTATCTGCAAAAATGACAAAACTTGTCGATTTACAGCCATTGGTTGGCAATGTTAACATTTCGCTATTGACTGTTATTAAAACTGGTTATCAAAATGTTAATAATAACAATATCATTATCAATTTTCTAATAACAATATTAGTGATGCAAATCCAACTTCAAGTTGAATTTTCTCTTCTGAAAAAAATAGTGTTTTCCATCTATATAGACCCATTTATTTTATTATTTTATATGACTTTATTATATGACATTTTTATTTTACAATATTCATGTTTTATTTTAGCTGATATTCGGTTTGTTTTTTCGTTTCAGTGATGGCGAAGCTGTACGACTGTCATGTAATCTACACAAAGGATCCCTCTAGGGTCAGTATAATAATGTATATAAAAGGTGTAGTAGGAGAGAATATCAGTGATTTAGGGACTTAGGTCTATCATAAATTTAGTTAAGAGCATCCTACCGCACCTTCTTATCTCAATCTGTTGTTGAAGTAGGATTTTTTAAAATGTTTTCTGAGAAACAAAAGTTATTCCATGTATTTATCTACTGTAACTTAACATTTTTCAAGTGTTTTCACAATTTAGGGGACCTAAGACGAATTTCCTATAAGATTGTAATCAATTTGCTGGATAAAGGCTCATGCATCCAGAACGCCAAGATTGATGAAAGTTTGTTTTTGATTACACAACATTGAATAACGTTTAACTACTAACGTTGATAACAATTATTTATACAATTTTCTGTTATTTTTTTTTTAAATTTACACAACTTTATAATGGTATGGAGATGGTTGACCGTGATTGCTATTTGAGGAGTCGGTCGGGGGTGCGATCAAATACAATACTATTCATTAAAATACTATTTTAATATAAAGTATCGCATTTGACCGCACTCCCGACCACTTTTTTCTCAAAATACACAACTTTATGATTAATACAGCAAACAAATAATGCATCTAGGCACCAGATCGAGTGTGCAAGAGCCTTAATTACTGTTAAGAATTCATTGTTATGATGTTTTATCGTATTTTGAACATCACTTTTCATATACTTGAGACATACTTCTAATTTATATATGTTTTTTTTTATTTTAGATTCGTGTGGCTTATGAAGACTGGAAACCTGTGAGAGACAGTCCTTTGCGCCACATAAGACATCCTGTATATCATAAATCTAATGGATACAGTTACATCCCAGGTAAAAAAGGAATGCATCAAACTGCAGAACAATCTGAAAAGATTGAAGTCTTTTCACCAGCACCTCCGACTATTCTAGGATCATTTAGCGTTTTTGGACATGCAACGGTAAATGCCAGGGAACATGCATCTCAAATAAACAAGAAACTAACAAGACCCCACCTTGGAGAATTAGCTGGAGTAGAATCAAGACCGAAAGTTTCTAATTATCAATTTCGGCACCAATACCCACACGCATACTCCAATTATCACCACAGTGATTTAAAGCGACCTCAATATGCTGCTAATGAACAATCTTATTTCTATGAAGGTTCTTTAAGACCACCTCCCCACGAACAAAGCAAAGCGTATACGCACTCGTCATTGGCTCCAGCTTCATACTATGGTTATGACCAGGGACACGTAGGAGGACAAGTTTACCACGAAGAAAAATATTATAGACCCCAGAAGGTATATAACTCTTTCCAACATCCTTCTCCTACTTATTCAACTCAGCATAATGCCTACAAAACAACATTATCTCCTTCTAACTATGATTCGACTTATTCATACTACAGCAGTCCTGGTAGTCAAATAGATACGGAGTATTATAATCAAAATCCAGTTGGAGCTATTCCTTTGAACACCAAGACCGATTCCAAACTGAAGCCAGTGACAGAAAATAATGTCCATGAACATTTATCTCACTATGGCAGGCCTTTTCAAAATGCTCAATCTTACACCACGGCCGACAAACTTAGTGATAACATAGATACGTTTGTTACAACGTTTCCTGCTCCTTCTACTGTTGAAACGAAATTGAGGTTTTCTGACGTAGCTCAACCATTCAAGGTTTCAAGTTTTGAAAATGTTGCTGTATCCAGCTCAAAACCTGACATTAATCAACCGGTTTATACAGAAGATGTTTATCCCATAAGCGTTACCACAATCGATGTTCCAACAGCAGTAAATACGCAAAATATTAAGAACGACTATGATGAATACGATACAAAATATCAGAAACCATTTAAACCAAGTCCTTTCGATCATTCAAATCATAAAATTACGACTAACTCGTACAAAAACTATAATGAAAATAATCCACCTGCCTTCTTGCCAACTCCATCGACCGATGTATCACCTTACTTGACGGAACCCAAAAGTGAAATTACTACTATCAATCCAGTGCTTAACTATTATCAAGAATCGAACTCCTTATCTTCAGTCGACAACAAACCTGAAGATCCTAGCGAATCTTACACTGAAATCTATTCAACAGTTCCTATCGAAACAACAACAAAATCTATACCCGTAAGGTCTAGGAGACCATCTAGACCACCATTTTCTTCCACAAGTACCACTAACTACAACAATCAATACTGGGACAGCTATTACAAACACCAACGCAGAAGAAGACCTACCAATAAAGTCCGATCAAGAGAAAATGTTGAGAAAAATAATTACAACAAACAAAGAACCACGACAACAACTACCACTACAACTGCACCTGAAAATGAAGAAGTAGATGTATTAGATTATACGACAGTATCACCAGAAATAAACTCACCTTTAAATAGAGAACAATATGAATACACTGGTGACAAAATCGAGCCAACTATTGCCTTAGAAACGGTAAACGAAAAACATAATATTAAAAATATGGACTTGGATGAAACTAACACAAAATTTGACGATATAACCAATGCTAGCTCAAGTACTACAACAACAACAACTCCTACAACACAGGTTACAACAGTACCACCGGTGTCTGTGGAACCAGGTAATCGTCTTAAAAATAAATATGGCAATCGACCACGATTCAGCATAAAAGACTACAGGGAAAAATTGAATAGAGCTTCAACAACAGCTAGCCCCCAAGAAAATGAGAAATCTAAACCAATTAGAAACGAAACTGAATTCAAATTTAGAAGAACAAAATCTCCAACTGTTGCACGTACTACCACAGAATCATCAGAATCGATACAAACATCTTTTGAACATAAATTTCAAAAGTACAAAACGAGAGGAACATCTTGGTACAAATCTACGTCAACCACTACACCTAGCAATAATGCAGAAATTACGACCACTGAGCGATCGAATTCCTTTAAACCTAGTACCAATCGATACAAACCAGGAACTGGAAAATATTACAGCAGATATAGAACATCAACAGTTGCACCAAAAGAAGTTGATGACAGTCCTACAACTACAACGAAAGTTACTATTCGACCAAAAGGTGTTTTCTCTGCAAAACGTCAACCCTTTCCCTTAAAATCTAAGCCAACAACGCCCAAAAGTGAAGACGAAGAAGAAGACGAAGTGCCCTTATTCTCGGATTCATTGAAAACTAATGAAAATGAAGTATATTCATCTGTTATAACGAAAAAAATGGATGATGCGACTACGACTACCATTTCAACCGGAGATGAAAAAGAAGCCAGCGACAAGGAAGTAGGAGAGCTCACAGGTTTGGAGTCGTCAAGAGTAGCTGATCTAACTTCATCGTCCAGCAATGATTTTAAACAATCAAGTCATTATAAAAGTGATAAAGCAGCTAGTAAAAGACCTTTATCGAAAATAACTTTACCAACGGATAACCCCATCCTTCCATTAGAAGCGTTTTTTCAAATACAACAATAATGAAAGTGAACTAAAACTCGAAATATTTGTGATATAACCAATTTCTTGCAGTTAAATTGGTATTATAACAATCAGCCCTATTGATTAGAAATAGGATTGCTCTTATAATGAGTGTGGATTGGCAAAGCCATTCTTTTAATGTTGATATTTTATAAGTAATTAAATATGCTTGATGTCAGAATATTAAAAATTATATTTAAAACAATTGAACCATTAAAAAAAAAGTACTTTTTGAAATTGAAATTAATTTGGGATGTCAAATTTAGAAATTCTTTAAGGATCCAGTTTATAGTAATATTAATAATGTTATCCTAATAAATTTACTTTAATAATATTATCTATTCTTTAGCTATGCTAAAGTAGTAAACTTCCAAATGTAATGTAATTGTTTTTGTATTAATTTATATGAATTATTTATTTATTTATTTATTGCAAAAAAAAATAAAGAAAAACAAAAAAAAATGAGATAGATCCTATGAAATGAGTTAGTGATTAACAGGAGTGCCTCGGAATCCCTAATCTTTGATACATCACGTTTATGTAAATAAAATATTCCAAAGATTTGTAAATATTATTTTGTAGATTTTTATGATTAAATTAGATTGGTCTGGACCATCGTGCAAAACGTTGACTTATTAACAATATGAAGATAAAAATTTTATCGACAATTCATAAGCCATTCACCACAAGAGCAGAAAGAAAACTAAAATATATACTCCAGTACTTAGAAATAATACATAATGAGATCACTATTAGAGAGCCCAAGGTCATGGAGAAAATCCAAGGGCACTAGGGACAAATTTTCTGGAACATCCCTAAAATCCTAAATTTTCCGTTGAACCCCAACATTCCTATTTCAATGTAACAAAAATATTAAGTAAAGTAAGCAATTATTAAGTATAATAATATATGTAATGTTTTTTTAAACAAATTTAGAAGGTAAAAATAAAACCTAGTTTATCTGCCTCATCCCCTCCCTCTCTCTGGGCCTGTTTGAGCGTCGGACAGTCATCCTCCTCAAGCTACAAGTCGGAGGAATAGTTTACCTTCAATTTTATTTGAGAAACTCAAAATCGAATAGTAACATTTAACTTAGTTTGATTAGTCAAAAATCTTCCAGGTCGAAAATTTCTTTCAGAAAATTGCATTATTGTTGGTATAAAATTATTAAAATTAATCATATTTCAGTTACACTCTATCCTTCATATATTGGTGTTGTGAGGCATTATAGAAACATTTAACTTCAAAAGCATTCATTTGTCAACTTTTTGCACGCTGGCACCTAAACTTAGATATTTTATATGGATAATGTAAATTATAAGTTTATGGTCATAAAATGTTATTACAATAATACACTAATTGTAAGTGCCGTTAGTGTTTAGCTCATATTTTTATCATTATTTCATACAGATTTTATAAATATTATTAATAAACATATTCCAAAGCGTTTTTCTTTTTCTTTTTTTTGTCTTACCTCTGCCCAGATCCAAATATACATATATATATATATATATATATATATATATATATATATATATATATATATATATATATATATATATATATGTATGTATATAATTGAGAGATATTACAATCTCACAAATAAGGACATCTATAATAGTGTTCAGAGAGCACATTCACGCTCTATCAACAATAAATAAAAATAAAGAATACAGAAAAAACAATAATACTAAAAGTAAATGTATATAAACTAAACCAAACAAAAAGAAACTAAACTAATAAAAACAACTACTCAGATATACACAAGCTTCTATACAATATTTAAAAAAATAAAAATAAAATAAAAAATTATTCACCCAAGATCTCCAAGCCAAGCCTTTCTCCCCACTCGAGGAAGGTAAGGCAGGACTCTAGAATATCCCAGCGCCTCTAAATCATCCACATAACTGGTATTAAGGACCAGTAGAGGCTGATCAGAGGCGCTATAATCACACATACATGGCTTGAGTGGAGAATCTGGCAATTGCCAAAACTCCAATGTATACTTATTCACAAAAGGTATCTGGGTCATTGCCGCTTCAACCTTCGCGGAGGATTGTAGGGATGGGTGGTATTGGATAGGAATTGTGCAAGGGGATTTGGATAATAGGTAAGGTTCTGGTGAAATGTGGAGAATTTTGCTGGGATAAGGTCTTAGACAAAGGGGATATTAAGGTCATGGTGTAGGGTTTTGTTGGTTACATAGAATAGAGCATCAACTATTGTTCGAAAGATTTTAGATTGTAAGTCCGTATGTCCACGTAGGTTTCAGGATTGTCTTGTAGATAAGTAATTTGTTTTCAATTGAAAGTTTAGATTTTCTGTTCAGTAGTCTGTATAGTTGGCCGTTTCGTCGGTTGAGTTCTAGTCTTTTGAGTATAGTATGTGGGTTCAATGTTAGTCTAAGGTCTACGAGAATGCCAAGATACCGGACTGTGTTTGAGAAAGGAAGCTGGATGAAATTAAAGTGTAAGGTGGAGAGGAATTGCGTCAGAGTGTAATGGTAATATGTTGGCATTTGGATTCATTTACATTAATACGCTAATTATTATACCAGTGCTCAATCAAGGAGAGGTGCCTTTGCAAATTTGAGGAGGCTATTTCGGGACCAGAATTGGATGATAAGATTGCGGTGACATCAGCGAATGTTGCAAAGAAGGTACCGGGATGAACAGGGATGTCAGCGGTAAAGAGGATATAAAGCACAGGTCCCAAGACGCTGCCTTAGGCAACACCGGCTTTAACGGGATATATATCGGAAAATTCTGTTCCACAGCGAACTCGAAAGGAGCGGTTAGAAAGGTAGGATCGGAGGACTAGGTACAAGGACTGGGGTAAATGGATTTTAAGCTTGCAAAGCAGTCTGGGATGCCATACCCGGCTAATGGACTATGGTCTGAGGAAAGTTCGTTTAGGTGTGTAATGGAACAATGGACGAGACTTAAGCCGCTATGGGTGAAGAAATCTAGGATATCAGGATTACGGTTAGGACCTGTGGGCCAGTAGTTAGGAGAGTTGGAGAAAAGAAGGTGGAAACGTTGGGGGTTGAGTGCAGACAGCAATGTTCTGCCACGAGAATTAGTGGTTCTTGAATCCCATTGCTGGTGTTTGGCATTTATGTCAGCGCCCAAGATGAAGTGATGTCCTAAGGAGTCGATGAGAGAACTGAATTTGGCATTGGATATGGATCGGTTAAGAGGGCAATACGCTGATGCATGAGTGACCGGAAAGGAGAAGGTTTTGATTACGATTGTGGTGGATTGTAAGTTGTGTTGTTTAGGTAAAGGGAGTAGGTGACGGGAAAGAGATTGGTGTACAATGACCACAGTACCAGCATGTGCTCTTCCGTCAGGGTTGTCAGTACGATATGTCAAGTATTGTGGTATTTTGAAGAGCTGTTTAGTGATTAGTCGAGTATTAGTACCTCCTTGACCTAATCCACATCAAACGCCCTTGTAGATTATTATGGCAACGTACTAGACATCCCACCGACCGCAGTTCCCGCGTATAATTATTACTGTAAAAAATTAAAACTAGAATTAGGCACCTTCAAATCACGATACTTTAACTCCTACCTATTCTCTCCTTCGAACAATAGTTGATGTACATTAAGCTGTGTGGTTCGGAATTTTTCCGATTATTATCTAACACTTATAATTTAGGATTAATCAGGCGCACCTTTCTTAAAAAATCCAACTTATATCATTAATCCTCAATGCAAAGATTAGATCTTATTTCCGCACTGCTGTAGGTTTTTATATAGCAACAGTTCGTCTCTTTTATTTACTCTTTCTATATTGTATTTTTGGATGTTTTTTTCTAATACATCTCTCATTTGACCTAATATATTTTTAATTCAGAAATATCTTTAAAATTTATGTCGAAACACATATTATGTGTTTAATGATTGTTGGATTTACATCCATATTTTTTGTATATCATTATTATTAAATATCATTATACATCAATTGGTATTATATACCACATATTTATTATTTGATTGAAATAATAACACGGAGGCTCTCCGGTCTCATCCTGCACTACCCCCTCTCTAAGACGGCCTTATCTATGACCAACGACAGATGCTAGGGGACGAAGCACAGAACCAGACGGTTTACGGCCTGCTTGCTCAGCCGACTTCAAGAATGACAACCAGCGGCTAAAGTGAGAATTACAGCCCTTTGGCTACACCAGCTCCAAAACTTTAGACGAGCGGCAAATCGAGAAAGAGAGAAGGCGGACCACAGGCGCGAGACCGGCCCCTCATCAAACTATATGTAAAACTATTAGATTAGTTCACAACAGAACAGGTTGCCTCTTCACATTGTTTGGAAAACATAAATAATGAGATGATTAACAAACAATTGGTAGCATCATTCACAATTATTCCTCTATCGAACATTTTATTTTTTTTTATATCACAAGAACAGGGCTCCCGGTCATACAGCATGTACCGGGCCGCCCAATATTGTATATATGGTGCCTCGGGTGAGGTATACTTGTGAATGAAAACATTGTTGACATACGCCCATCAATTTAATTACTTAATTTTTTTTCATTATTAAATTTGACTCTCGGTTATTGATTTTTTTTACGTTGAATTAATTAATAACTTTCAGTATTAACGGCATTCATTAACGCCAATGTTGCTATTAATTAACGTAATATTAACAAACGGCTTAAACAGCCAGCAGGTGAGCCTTTCTCTAATACCATTTGAAGCAACATTTATGGCTGCCTAATTCCATTAAGCACAACAGTTATGATTACTTCCGCTAATGTTTCATCTTTACGTATTTTAAGTCTATACAGCATGTACCGAGCCCCCCAAAATTGTACAATGCTTTTGATAAGATCTCAATACCAATATGTCTTATTTTTTATTGATCCCTTAGCTATAAACTTGGGAATCAGTTATCCTGCATCAATGCCGGTCTTGGAGCCGGGCAACTGTGGCAATTTTCCCAGGGCGCCCGTTGGGGTCGCCGATCTTCAGAGGC